TTGTTGTTGGGGACTGACACGTAGCATCTATTTCGCTTAATCCTTCTCTACATTTACAATATGGGCCGTAAGGACTATCATAACAATCACTACCATCAGGGCAACGGTTTTTGTATGCACTGCAGTTGCAGGTACCATAAGAAACATCAGAATAATATATAAGAGAAGAAGAACAATATACCCAGCTACGTGAACACCAACCACCTATATAACCATATTGAATTAGGGTCTTGCTGCAGCAGCTTGTAGATGGGCAATGGAGGCCCCCAGGGTAATCCTGTTCTGTACCCCGGGGCCCACAGGGGCCCCCATCTTTTGTTTGAAAGCAAGGCTTCATACCATGAGCAATAGCTGCAAATTCTTCTTCATTTATACCAGTTTCTGCGAATGATACAATAGAAACTTCTTTTGCTGCTGCTACGCTGCTGCTGCTGCTGCTGCTGCTGCTGTGCTGCTGTGCTGCTGCTGAGGGGAAATCATATGATTCTGTAAAGCCTACAACAGCAGAATCCAAATCCTTATCTTGCTGCTGCAGTTCATAGTGCTCTTGCTGCTGCTCCTGCTGCTGCTGCTGCTGCTGCTGTTGATAGTGTTCATGAGAGAGAACTGCAGCAGCTCGCTGCTGCAGCGAGAAAGCTGTTGGGGTTCTGCCGATGGCAGCTGCTGCCCATAGCAACACGAGGTGGGCATGCATTTTCATAAACTACTGTAAAAAATATTAAAATAAATAAGAGGAAATAATATAAAAAGGAAATAATACAACACTGTGAACGTGAATATACACACAGCAACTACAGCAGCAACTGCTGCTGCCCCCGCGAGCCACACCGCTGCCGCCCGACCTGCTGCTAGAAACAGAACGAATAAACCTTCTTCTGTACACCTTTTTGTTATTTATTTTTTCTTCATTGGTGTATTATATGGAGTTATATTTATTTTTTTTTTAATTAAATATCTTGCAGCAGCTTCACTGCATACAAATTAGTTGGGGTGGAATGTCGAGTTAACCACTGCTGCTGCGGCTCATGCTGCTGCTGCTGCTGCTGCAGAACCGATGATATCTCGGGCTTCTACGGGCGGAAAAAAGCAATTTTATGCAATTAAAATTAATTGTTTTATTTTATTTTAAAATAATTTTAATTATTTCGGTCTTAAACGCTGAGTTTACCCCCTAAACCCCGCAGCTGCTTCGCTGTATGCTCGCCCAGGAGCATCGACGGCAACCCTGGCGAGCCTGCATCACCGCTCCGCTCCGCTGTGCTTAATGAGGGAAACATCTTTGTAAACATTAAAAAAAAACAAAATTAAATTTTGTTTTCTTTTTATTTAGAAAATTCTGCTGCTTTCCACCCCCCCTCAACACCTGTATTCATGCAGGTCGGCCGCCCGCACGCTGCATATACACCGCGACGCCTGTAGCGCTTCACCAGCATTTCTTTCTCTTCCTCCTAAACAAATAAATAAATGTTTGAAACAAATTCATATATTCCTTTCTACCATCTAGCATCGAACACAAGCCGCTTTTCTCCGGCTGAGCCCACAAACCCGAGCACAAACACAGCTTCTTTACAAGCATTATAAGCTTACACACACATTCTCCCTTCTGCCCCTGAGAGAAGAAAAAGAAAAGCACCAAAGAAATAACACATACAAATTCAGAGAAACAGTACAGTTACAACTGCTGCATAAACAAAACACTGCACGCCGTAGTGTTATCCTCAAGCAGAAACTCCTAATGCACAAATGCCATTGATTTTTTTCTCAGCGAAGGATCTACAAAAGAGAGAAAACGAACTGAACCAGAGAAAAAAAAATACTGAACCAGAGTTTCTGTTGGTATTCTAGGCAGCTGTTTCCCCCTCTGCCCCCTCCGCTGTCTACTCTATACTCCTTTGGGCGCTAACAAATGCAGCCATCCATATACAACAGGGGTCCCCCCGGCTAGCAAAGCAACTGCATCCATATACAGAGTGTATACTATACACCCAGGGAAGTCTGTGTCTGTATACATAGATCTAGGCAAGCCTAGACTCAACTATAAAGCCCTAAACTTAAGCGCTCTTCACAGAACACAAAAAAANTAGATCTAGGCAAGCCTAGACTCAACTATAAAGCCCTAAACTTAAGCGCTCTTCACAGAACACAAAAAAAGTCGTAAAGCTAAACATTACACCATAAACTGTGGATTCTAATGTTCTACCAAAAAGTAAACAAAATACTGGCCTTGTAGGTGCATCCAGCTTGAGTGTTGCCTTCGCTGGAGTTTTTGGTGTTGACACGGAACCCCAAACTAGGAATATGCGGCAAGCGCTCTCTGGTGTATGTGCATGCATGCTTGTACAAGTTTATGCTGTCTAGAGGATGCCCAGTAAGCGTCCATCAATTGACTGCGTATTCTTGCATCTGACAGAGCTGACAGACCCCTCATCTACTGCAACTCTCAGATGTTGTTGCTAACACACAACAGCAAGTGCCTCGACTTTGCTTCAACCAGAGCAGCAGGCGGCAGAAGCAGCTACAGCTGCTGCAGTTGCATGCAGAGGACAGGCATGCCCCCCCAGAGATGCAAAAACTTCTATACTACTCTCGGATCCCGGCTGTCTGTACACCCAAGCCACAGGCATGCTACTGACCGACGAAAGTTTCGCCAACTACCAGCACAGCGAATCCGTTCTCCGCAGGGGCCCAGGCATCAGTACGCATGCAGCGCGAAGCATACTGCAGCAAAACCTCTCAGAATTAAGAGCAATTATTCATGTTTGTACTTATACTGGGTAATAGAGGGGGCGCCTGTGTTGGAGGATCAACGAGTTTGTCAATGCAGCTCAATACCCAGCATGAGAGGACCACCGAGAACCACCGGGAGGCAGCGGCTGTAGCTGAAGGAAACAACAGCTCCTTTCTGCAGCACTGGCGGCTCTGCACTTCTGTAGAATACTTTTATAGTACAACAAA